GAGATTTCTTTCCCTTGAGATGAGTATCTAGGTCAGCACTGTTCAGCAGAATTTTCTGTGATGATGGAATTGTTTCTGCATTGTCCAACCATTGGCTACTTAGCAACATTTGTGTATTGAATATTTGAAACATGGTAGTGTGACTGAGGGGATGAATTTTTAATTTTTTAAATTTAAATAACTACATGTGGCTAGTAATCACATTGAATAGTGCATAATTCTAAGGTCAACAATTTTTTTTTTTTTTTGAGACATAATCTTGCTCTGTTGCCCAGGCTGGAGTGTGGAATGTAGTAGTGCAATCTTGGCTCACTGCAACCTCTGTCTCCCGGGTTCAAGCAATTCTCCTGCCTCAGCTTTCTGAGTAGCTGGGATTACAGGCATGTATTACCACACCCAGTTAATTTTTGTATTTGCAGTAGAGATGGGGTTTCACCATGTTGGCCAGGCTGGTCTCAAACTCCCAACCTCAGGTATCTGTCCCCCTCGACCTCTTAAAGTGCTGGGATTTCAGGCGTGAGCCACCACACCCAGCCTAATGTCAACAATTTTGATTTTGCCTCTTGATTTAGTGTTTCTCAAAATGTTTTATGGATCTTAAAGATGCAGTTCCATGGATTGCATCCTACACCTACCAAATCAGGATCATCTCTTTGCTGTTGGCCTCCCTATAGACTTGCAGTATCTCACTTTAGTCCCTTTGGAAGTATAGCTTTGTTTTGTTTTGTTTGTCTTTTCTTTTGAAACAGGGTCTTGCCCTGCTGCTCAGGCTGGAGCGCAGTGGAGTGACGAAGGCTCACTACAACCTCAAACTCCTAGGCCCAAGTGATCCTTCTGCCTCAGTCCCCTGAGTAGCTGGGACTACAGGTACTTACATCATGTCCAACTAATTTATGGCTCTTGCTTTTGGTGGCATGTTTAATATTTTATTCTTTTTATTTTATTTTTTTGAGATGGAGTTTCACTCTTGTTACCCAGGCTGGAGCGCAATGGTGCGATCTCGACTCACCACAACCTCTGCATCTGGGTTCAAGCAATTCTCCTGCCTCAGACTTCTGAATGGTTGGGATTACAGGCATGAGCCACCACGTCCAGCTAATTTTGTATTTTTAGTAGAGATGGAGTTTCTCCATGTTGGTCAGGCTGGTCTCAAACTCTGACCTCAGGTGATCTACCCGACTTGGCCTCCCAAAGTGCTGGGATCACAAGCATAAACCACTGTGCCTGGCCTATTCTTCTTCTTTTTTTGAGATGGAGTCTTGCTTTGTCACCAGGCTGGAGTGCAGTGGTGCGATCTTGGCTCACTGCAACCTCCACCTCCTGGGGTTCAAGCGATTCTCCTGCCTCAGCCTCCTGAATAGCTGGGACTACAGGCATCGGCCCACACGCCCGGCTAATTTTTGTATTTTTAGTAGAGATGGGGTTTCACCATGTTGACCAGGATGGTCTTGATCTTTTGACCTCGTGATCCACCCGCTTTGGCCTCCCAAAGTGCTGGGATTACAGGTGTGAGCCACCACACCCGGCCCTCTTTTTATTTTTATAAGATCTATTTCATTCTTTTAAAATTTGTTTTGTCATTTTTTGCTCATTAGTTCTAATATCTTCTTTATTTATTTAATTTTAAATTACTATGGCTATATAACAGTTGTTAATTTTTTTTGAGAAAGGTTTTCACTCTGTTACCCAGGCTAGACTGTAGTGGCACTAACATGGCTCACTGCAGCCTCTGCCTCTTGGGGTCATGATCCTCCTACCTCAGCCTCCTAAGTAGCTAGGAAAATAGGAGCATGCCACCATGCCTGGCTATTTTAAAAAGTTTTTATAGAGTCAAGTTCTCACTATGTTGCCCAGGCTGGTCTTGAACTCCTGGGCTCAAGGAATATTCCAAACTCACTATTTTAGTTATTTTGAAATATACAGGACAGGAGTGGTGGCTCATCCTGTAATTCCAGCACTTTGGGAGGCCGAGGTGGGTGGATCACTTGAGATCGGGAGTTTGAGACCAGCCTGACCAACATGGAGAAACTCTGTCTCTACTAAAAATACAAAAAATTAGCCAGGCATGGTTACACGCCTGTAATCTTAGCTACTCAGGAGGCTGAGGCAGGATAATCACTTGAACCTTGCAGGCAGAGGTTGCGGTGAGCCAAGATCCTGCTATTGCACTCCAGCCTGGCCAAGAGCGAAACCATATCTCAAAAAAAAAAAAAAAAAAAAAAAAAAAGAAAAAAAGAAAAATACGTTAAGTTATTGTATATGAATACCTAAGTTATTGTATATTATGTACAAATAATTTACATAATTTACAAATAATGTACATAATATACAATAACAGGTATTCATATACAATAACAACGTATTTTTCTTTTTTTACATAATTGTATATTATGTACAAATAATATACAATAACTTATTTTATATTAATAATTATGTCTAGTTTTCAGTAGCACTAGGTATAATTCCTTCCATCTTCATTATTTATATTAATTATCTGAATATAAATCTGTGGTTCTCATTCTGTTGACTATTTTTTTGCTGGCTGTCATGATGATTCTTTTGTGTTTTGTGATTTTCTATTTTTACTGTGAATCATATTGATTGGACTTTATTTTTGTGCCTTCTGTTGGAGGTATATTCTGTCAGAGATGATTGACGTTTGCTTCTGCTTGCTTAAGATCACTTTTGACTCAAGTCTATTTAACCTAAGTTATTGTCCTGAGGGTCTTCATACCTATTAGCCTTGGTGAATTCAGGCTGTAAACCTCTTGATCAGTGTGTTGTTACGAATTCTCAAGGAATAAGTTTTAGAGTTAACATTTGTTGATAGTAAATGATATAGGTTATGGTAACCTGGTCTTCCCAATTTAGGACTACAAAAACAAAAACACAGAAAAAAAAAAAGGAGGAAAGCACACAAATCCTTTGTGTATAGTTTGCATACCACACACCTCTGCCGGACACTAGCCTTTTTTAAAAAATCTTTTTTGAGACAGGGTGTTACTCTGTCACCCAGGCTGGGGTACAGTGGCATAAACTTGGCTCATTGCAATCTGGACATTCTGGGCTCAAGAGATTGATGGTGCCTCAGTCTCAGGAGTGGCTTGAGCCACAGGCACCACACCCAGCTAATTAACAGAATTTTTTTGGCTGGCCTGGTGACTCACACCTCTAATCCCAGCACTTTGGGAGGCTGAGGTGGGTGGATCACTTGAGCCCAGGAGTTAGAGAGCAGCCTGGGCAACATAGGGGGACCTTGTCTCTACAAAAAACAAAATAATTAGCCTGGGTGGTGGTGGTGGCAGGTACCTGTAGTTCCAGCTACTCGGGAGGCTGAGGCAGGCGGATTGCTTGAGCCAAGGAGGTGGAGGCTACAGTGAGCAGTGGTTATGCTGCTGCACTCCAGCCTGGGTGACAGAGCGAGATCCTGTTTCTCTCTCATCTTTTTAGTAGAGAGAGCATCTCACTATGTTGCCCAGGGTGGTCTCCAACTCCTAGTCTCAAGCCATTGTTCTGCCTCCGCCTCTAAGTGCAGAGAATACAGATGTGAACTACAGTACCTGGCCTAAACCAGCCTCTTTCCTCAGGAATTGATACTGGTTTATTCTGCTCAACGACCTGATAGCTACCTGACCCAGGAAAATCCAGGTGTGGTTCCATTACAAGGAATCCACACCCATTAAGAAGTCAGCTCTAGGTGGTAGGTGAAGTGTCCAGGAGAGGGTGTGGTATGCAAATTGTGTCAGAGGATTTATCTATTCTGGAATCCATACTGCTTCCCGAACAGAAAAACTATACCCATTCCCAGTGTCATACAGTTTTCTGGAACAATTGGGAGCGTAGACGGTCAGAATACTCTAATTTTTATGCCATTTGGTCATTTTCAAAACTTTTCTCGAGTCTTCAATTTTTTGGTTTAATAAAGTTTAATAAACTTCTGTGCAATAAATATTAGGCTATATCTAATGTACCATGACTTTTTGAAATGAACCTAATTCCTACTTTACAGCCGAGCTTTTCTCTTCTTTCTTTCTTTTTCTTTTCTTTTTTTTTTTTGAGACAGGGTTGACTCTGTCGCCCAGGCTGGGGTGCAGTGGCGGGATGATTTCGGCTCACTGCAACCTCCGTCTTCTGGGTTCAAGTAATTCTCAAGCCTCAGCTTCCCGAGCAGCTGGGATTACAGGTGCCCGTCACAATACCCAGATATCTTTTGTATTTTTAGTAGAGACGGGGTTTCACAGGGTTGGTCAGGCTGGTCTTGAACTCCTGACTTCGGGTGATCCACCCACCTTGGTCTCTGAAAGTGCTGGCATTACAGGCGTGAGCCACCGCACCCGGCCTGCAATAGAGATTTTCATATGAATTGTGTGGCTTAATTTTTTTTCTTTGAAAGTTAAATTATAAATGTCGTATATTTGGGTTCAGCTTTTTGTATTCTTAATTCTTAAGCGGGCCGGGGGCAAGGGACAGAGATAGAGGCGGCTCCTATAGGGAACTCATTCTTTGATTCCGCCTTAGATCTGGCTAAGGGGATAGGAAACGACCCTATCTCGCTTTGTTTAAAGACGCAGGGTTCTAGCGTGGTGTTCCTCCCGCCCACCCCCAACCCCCCGTTTTCTTCTTAAGCTCACCACGTTCCAGATAGCGCACAGATCAATTTTTATCACAGCTGTCATTCTCATTTTTACAGCCATGAAAAGTGTGATTCTAGTTAAGTGTCAGCCTCGGGTAGGTCGGGGATTCCCAGTCAACTCGCACTTTCGTCGCCGCTCCCCTTCCACCCCGCGCCTTCGCTGGCCGTCCCCTGCTCCATCCAGGCCACGGGGGTGACGAGGGTGTCTGGGGCATTCGGGCCTGGCTGGTCGTAGGGCTTCAGGTCCAAGTCCACGCCGGAACTCGTCCTGATCAGTCTGGCTTTTCTGGTCTCCCCAGCTTTGCGGTCGCGGAGACAGGGAAACCATCGAGCTGACAGCCCAGAGCGTCGCTCGCTGGCTGCCAAGCGCTGACGCCGCGCCGGAGGCGGGGCCGCTGGAAGCCGCGGGGAGAGGAGCTAGCAGCCGGGAAGGGGAGGGCTGGCTGGCCTCGCAGCGCCCCGCCGCGGCTGCGGCCGGAAACGGTCTCGTTGGCCCTGCGGCGCTGGAGCCCTGACGCACGGAGCTCGAGAGCGAGAACGGGAGAGAAAGGGGTAGAAATGGCGGCTCCGCTCGGCTCCCGCTGAGGAGGGCGAAGCCGGCGGAGTGTCTGTGCTGCCAGCCTGCAGCACCGCCCCCGCTTCCCTCTCGCCGCCTGCTAGCGCCGACTTCCCTTCCTCTGCCCGGCTCTCTGTTGTGTTGGTCTGCGCTCCGCACGCTCCGGGCCGGCTCGTCTCTCCCTGCCCGGCGGCTCCGCTGGCCCTGACTGACCGGCCGGCGGGCCGGCCTTGCTCGGCTCTCCGGGGCGCGGCGTGGACTCCGTCCTCCTGGCTGGACCATGGTGAACACCCGGAAGAGCTCTCTCCGCCTTCTCGGGTCCAAGTCTCCTGGTCCCGGGCCTGGGCCTGGGGCCGGAGCAGAGCCTGGGGCGACCGGAGGCAGCAGCCATTTCATCTCCTCTCGGACCCGCTCCTCCAAGACCCGCGCTGCCAGCTGCCCCGCCGCCAAGGCCGGGGGAAGCGGTGGCGCCGGCCTCGCTCTGGATGAGGCCAGGGTAAGCGCGGCGTCCCGAGTCCGGAGGCTCGGAAGTGTCAGGCCGGCCGCCGGGGCTTTGTCTGGCCGGGTTGGGGGCAGGAAGCCTCCAGTAGAGACCGCTCGGGCGGCTGGAGACAGGGTCTGCGGGCGCGGTGGAGGGTGGCACCCAGGAGAAGGGCCGCGACGCTGGCCCGTTTGCTTTTCAAGCTGGCCCGGCTCTTTTGTGTAAAGAACAGCCCTTGAGTCCAGGGGAGAGGGCTTTGGGGGTCCCTTTTGGGGGCATTCGAACGATCTGCAGTCCTTGTCCTTGTCCTGCCCCAGAGGGGAATTCTAGCGGGGAAGCAAGAGCGAAGGACCAGAGCCCCTGGGTGGGAGGGTTGGAGAAGTGAAAGTTTTCTGCGGTGTCAAACCCTTCTTGAAAGTGTGTCAGTTCCTGCCGCTGTCTAACTCCAGCTTACTCTCAGTTTGGGGGTGGTTCAAGTTGGTGAGGAAGTGAGCAGAGAGCTCCAGTTGGCAGCCAGGCAGGGATGCTGAAAAAAGTTTGTAGCTGCTCTGACACCAACTTTAAAAACAAAATCAACACTATCGCCTCTCCAGGCAGGAGAGATCAAACATAATGTTGTAGCTGGGGAACCAGCCAGCTAGCTCACCAAGGTGCCAGTAGGAACCAGAGCTTTCAGGTCACAGAAGGAGCGCGTCGAAATAAACAAGTGGAATGTGTTGGACAGTCAGCACTATCATGCCAAAATTGTGTGGTTTCTTAGATGTCTACATTTTTGTCATGGGACTATATTACAAAAGTGAATGAACACCATCGTTGTCATGCAGTTGCAAAAATGACGTTTGAAGAACCTGGTGATTGAATTAAAAAGTGATAGATCTTGAAATTTTACTAAGCACAGGTATTTATTGCTGTAAAGGAATTGATGCTTTTGTTTTACCATGAGATTGTTTCTGAATTCAGAGAAGACTATACTGCTTCTCTCTAAAGGAGGTTGACTTGCTAGGTAATTTGGCTGGAAAATGCTGTTCATTTAAAATGCTCCTTTAATTCCACACCATTTTTTGGTCTTACTGGGGTGGGAGCGAGGAGGGAAGCAGTATTTCATGTTCAATAGGGGTCTACAAGATCGCAGTTTGTGTGTGCTTTTTCTTTGTGTCTTACACTGTTTTGACGCCATCAGAATGAATCTAGGCAGAGACAACAGGAATATTTTACCATACCACTCTGAAATATTTTTATTATATCTTTGAAAATCGTTTTGGTTTCTATTTGATAAAAATGTGGATATTAATTTTAGAACTGTCCTATTTAATGTACTATTTTGGGGGTTTACAGATCTCTTAGGTTGAAATAAGAAGCCTAAATCTGAAAGTTGTGCAAACTATTGAGAATAAGTACTTTGAAGACGAGGCTTTCTGTGGAAACTTTCCAAACATGTTCAAGCTTCTTGACCTACTGATGCTATCACGTGTTTTAAAATAAAACTAAATTTAAGATCTGTTCTCTACATTTAAGGACAAAGAAAATATTTAGAGTGTAAGCATTTAATTGTATCATGCTATGAATGCCTGGTCTATTAGAGCAGTGTCTAATTCATCTGAAGCAATTAGCTCATTTATCGCTGATCAGTTCCTGGTCCCATTTTTGAATTCATGGGTATCATGCTTCCTTACCCCCTGAGGAATAAGGTGAGGTAATTTGTCAAGCAGCTGTTATAGAGATGTTAAAAGGCTAGGAATCAATAATCTAATGAGGAAATGAACATTTGGTAGCTTTTAAATTACTAGAAGAATGAAAGATATGAGAGCTCTTTGTAGAGGGGTACTAATGAAACTTTGTTTCAAAGATCCTTTTAAAATGTTTTAAAGCACCATAAATAACAGTCTACTGAAGATTTACTTTGAAATATTTGTTTTTCAGTCTTAAGAAGATTTATGTTATGGCTCTAGTAGATTATGGAGTGATCTAATTGCTTTCTCTGAAAGATTTTTTAGAGGCTTACTGCTCTTACATAGAGATTGGACCTTTAGAAGAGGCTAAATTATAATTCTGAATTTATTAAGTTTATAGACTACATATTTATTAAGCAGGCTGTATATTTCTTTGTTGTATATTTCTGGTTAGCTCTTCTCCAGTTTTGTAGGAATTTAGCACTCCTGGTTTACCCTTTCTGGAGTACTTAAAGGCACTCTCGATGTCTGTGGGGTCTGAAACAGACATTTACCAGTGTCTGTAAAGTCTTGATGCAAAATGGGGTTTCCCGTGTTGTCGCTTTAGCAGACCCTTATTTTTGTAGGAGGAAATGTATTCCTGTTTGTAACATCTATAATTGAGGAGTTTCTCCTTTTTCTGCTTTTGTGCCATGTTCTTAACTATACCTGATGCCCGTTTTTCCCTCTTTTCCCTGTTTTTAGATTATTTCATTCACTGTGTCCAGAGACATTTTATTTGCTTTAAAAAGTCATAGCAGTTTGAGTTTTTCTTATAGTTTTGTCTTTTTTCCCAAGTAGCGTATGTATAGGATGGGTGATAAATATACATTCTGCAGATTATTAGAATTATTTTTTCTTTTTTAATATTAAAAGCCTTTTTTTGACATGTAAAAGGTTGCACTTAGTATATTTAACTCTGTGAGTTTGGAGGTTAAATATGTATATTTGTGAAACCATCAACACCATAGAGATATCCATCATTCCTAAAGTTTTCCTATCCCTTTTATTATGAATGTCTTATTAGTATTTTTGTGGCAAGAACACTTGATATAAAATCTACCCTCTTAGAAGATTTTAAGTATGCAATACAGTATTCTTAGATGTAGGCACTACATTATATAGATCTTCAGAACTTATTTATCTGGCATAAGTGATATTTTGTTGCCTCCCCCCAAGACGCTGGCAATCACCCTTCTACTCTGCTTCTATGAATTTGCTAGTTTAGATTCCACATATAAGTGAGATCATACGGTATTTATCTTTCTGGGACTGGCTTATGTTATTTAGTGTAATATCCTCTAGGTGCATCTGTTGTTGTAAGTGACGAGATTCCCTTCTTCGGCTTAATAGTATTCCATTGGGCATGCACACATGTACACCATGTTTCCTACATTCATCTCTTGTTGGACATTTAGATTGTTTCCATGTCTTAGCTATTATGAATAATGCTACTATGAACATGGGAGTGTAGATGTCCCCTTGAAAGCCTGGTTTCAATTCTTTTGGATAAATACCCAGAAGTGGGATTGCTGGATCATATGGTAGAGTTCTATTTTTATTTGTTTGAGGAACTTTCATACTATTTTCCATAGTGGCTGCACCATTTTGCATTTCTACTGGCATGTACCAGGATTCCCTTTTTTCCACCTCTCCCCAATATTTGTTGTCTCTTGTCTTTTTGACAAGAGCCATCTTGACAGGTATGAGGTGACACCTCATTGTGGTTTTAATTTGCATTTCCCTGATGATTAGTAATTTTGAACACCTTTTCATATACCTGAGTGGTGTCTATTTAGTTAGGACCTTTCTTTCTCTGATGCCCAGGCTGGAGTGCAGTGGCACAATCGTAGTCCACTGAAGCCTTAAAGTCCTGCTTTGCTTATTAAAAATTTTTTTTTCCCTCTGGAGTACCCTATGTATTTTGGAAATTAACTGCTAATCAGATATACAGTTTGAAGATTTTTCTCCTATTTTGTAGGTTGCCTTTGTGCCTACACTTTTAAATTTTAAATTTTCTTATTTTTTTCCTCCCTTATCTTTACCCACAATGCCCACACTTTTAAAATGTCAGGTTGTCTTTTAGTGCTATGCAGTTAGATGTAATTACTCCTGTACACTGTGGCTTTTTTTTTTTTTTTTCCTCCAAGCTTGCATAAAGCTTGACCTCTTTTAGGTCAGTTAATCTGGCCTTCAGTCATTAAGTGTTTATTTGTTCCACCTAAGTGTCACTCCCAGTAAACAATCTAATACTGTATTCACAAAACTGGAGAGCAATCTTTGAAAAATATTTCAACTATTCTACTTCTCCTTGTTAGATCTGTTTGCTGGTATTTCTGGCTTTGTCACAGCTTTTTTGGGCTTTTTGAGATGGTCATTGACTCTGAGTCCCCATCTTACTTGTGAGATCAAAATAAATATTTTGAGTAACTTTAGAATTAAAATGCTTACTTTCTTTTTAATTTTTAAAATCCCTAGATCCTTCTTTAGTATTCTCTTTGATCATCCTGTACTTTTCCTTTTCCAACACTCATGCATTTGCCAACATAACAAAGCAGAGTGGGTGAAGTTGAGGGTTACAGAGGTGAAAGAAGTCTGAGAGGGAAAGCTCGTAATGTATGTAACTCTCAGATGAGCAGGGAAAAATATAAGTTCCTCAGAACAGAGCACTTTTTCCCTTATACTGTAGCAGATTCACATGGAATACAGAATAGATAATATTGTAACATAACAATGTTCCCTGCCACAATTTTGAACCAAAGCAGTGGTGGAATTCATAGGATTGCTCTGGTAGCCAAGTGAAAATGTGGCTTAAATTCAGGTACTGGCTATTTCCGTAGTCCAGATATTTACACTTTCTGTTGTTTAGGTCATGGATGAAACTTATAAAGCCTATAGGAGTGAATGCATATTAATTCCTTAAATCATTTTCCCTGGCAAGTAGTCTTTTTTTTTTTTTTTTTTGAGACTGAGTTCGCTTTTGTTACCCAGGCTGGAGTGCAATGGCGTGATCTCGGCTCACCGCAACCTCCGCCTCCTGGATTCAGGCAATTCTCCTGCCTCAGCCTCCTGAGTAGCTGGGATTACAGGCACGCGCCACTGTGCCCACCTAATTTTTTTTTGTATTTTTAGTAGAGACAGGGTTTCACCATGTTGACCAGAATGGTCTTGATCTCTTGATCTCGTGATCTGGGAGACCCGCCTCGGCCTCCCAAAGTGCTGGGATTACAGGCGTGAGCCACCGCGCCCGGCCCGCAAGTAGTCTTTTAAACCATCCTTTCATAGGTGTTTTATTGCATGTCTCCT